CACCAGAGGGAGGAGAGGTGTGAGTCGGGGTTTAGGGGTTGCCTTGTCAATGAATAAAGTGTCAGGGCTAGAGATTTAATTAAAGCGAAAACAAAGCCAAGAGTAGAAACAACAAAGAAAAAGACAGAGAGAGAGAGAGAGAGAGAGCAACAAAAGTTAGTGAACCTCTCTAAATATAGTACAATGGGATGAAGAATGTCTCTCCACTCTCCACTCTCCACTCCCATTCTAGCGCAGAAAGTAGACAGGAGCGAGAGTAGAAGAGGAGCGCGAGAAGTCATCATCCGAAATTGGCAACAACAAAAATTCTCAAAGTGTGAAAGAGAAAGGAGGGAGGGGAGGCTGACGCACTCTGTCTGACGCTCACTGTGTGTTGTTATCTTTTTAATCCCTGCCGCCGCCGCTCTGGTTCTCCTCTACTCATCCGTTCTACAGTCTCCACACACGCACACGCACACGCACACACTGTCTCCACTCTCTTGTGTTGTCCCTTTCCCACTTGCGTCTATGCTTGGACGAACGTGTCAATGACTCCCGCGACTGTTAATGTTTTTAAATTTAAGTCTTCAACAAATTAAATTTGCGTAATAATTAGTTGTTGCGTACCCTATAAAAGTGCGGTATTACCAGAGAAAGAACTTAGAAATTAATATAAAAAAGTATTTCTCCCACTACAAATAGTAGATTAATAGTTCAATAAATTCTGCTACGAAAATTTTTAGCAACAACTTTCATAGTGATTAAATTCAAGAAATTGTTGATTAGATTATAATCTTAAATTCTACGCAAATCACACAAACCTAATCGTCAGATAAGACTTTATGTTGGCAACCAATTTTGGGGGTTTAAAGAATGGTAGATTAAGTTTATTTGCGTTTATGTCCAACTATCGATATTTAGACCTGGAACTATCTACAGAGTATCTTCACCTTCGACTACGTATTTGACTTCTGTTTTGCTTTATTTCGGCACTTAGTCGCCTGTGCCGGTTATCTCTGGTTTTAGTGGTGACATTGAGGGAGCAGTTGATGCCTTTTATGCGCCAGCCCCTACTTTTGGGTACTTGTGTGTGCCCGTTTGGCTAATTGTGTGGCCTTTTTATGGGTCTGAAGTCTATAGTTATTTCGTTTCTCATCTGCTCAAGCTGCTGCTGCTGCTGCTGCTGCTGCTGCTGTGTCTGTCTGTGCCTTGCCTTTTGGTTTTGTGTTTCCTGCTTCATTTACTTATTGGCTTTAATGTATTTTGCATGTTTTTTGAGCAGCTTGTCGTGTTGCAGCATTGCCAGTGCCAGTGCCAGTGCCCCTTCCCATGTATCAATGTAGCCGACTTGGATGGCTGCGTCGGCGCACAAACAACTAAAAAACTAAAGCAATTATTGTTTCTGTTGATATACCCTGCCTTTTTGAGGGTATTTTAATGTTTGTTTAGATCATTCGCCACTTACAAGAGAAGAGATTTTGCAACGAACATTGGCCTTGGTTTTTGTGGAAAAATGTTCATTGGTTCTTTCCAGTTTCTTTCTTTTGTTATAAATATTCCCATAACTCCCATAGCGATCATTCTGTTAGGGTATTTAAGTCTTCGATCCACTGAAACTGCTCCTTCTTTTTTTCTCTTTATATTTATTTGCTTGCGTGCTTTATTATCATTTCTCCGCCGCTCATAAATATGCATTGTCTCTGTCCGCACTTGTTCCTCTCTGTCTCTGTCTCCAGCTCCAACTCCCACTCCACCTCTTACCCCTCCTCTCTTCTCTTTTCCACAATTGGGTCAGAGTTCGCCCAGCTATGAAAATGTTAATTGCATGACAACTGTCTGGGGGCGGAGGCCGGCTGCCGTTCTATGGATCCGTTCTCCCGTTTCCCGTTTGGGGATGTCGTGGGCGAAAGTTAACGGTAGGCCAAGCCCCAAAAAATATATTTATAAACATTTCGGAACGTTGCGGAACACGTTTATGCGTGTAACGGGATCATGAAATTGTGATTGGTGATTGCTGTTTGAGTTGATTCGTTCAAATGTTGATTTTGGTCAATTGATTCATTGAAAAATGCCCAGTATGGTTTACTTTTGGGAGTTTCTTTGGGTGATTCATTCAGTGTTTGTGATATCTATGATGCTGGGATACTGGAAGCACTTTAAATGGGATTAAAAATAAGTTATTTATACAGACTAGGGCGTTGTGTTTCCTTCCTTCCTTCCAATTTAAATTTTACCACATTCAAAATCGCTGTCTCTCTCGCTCTCTTTGTGTTTGCACACCCACAAAATCAAAGCCGTTAAAAACGTTGCACTTGTACGTGTTCCACAGGGAACCACATGTGCTGGCCCCTTGCAAAGTTTCTACCCCCGGGATCACCAAGTCATTCTGGCAGTGACTCACAAGAGAGAGGGAGACGGAGACGACACTGTGGCTGGGGAGCTGATAAAAAGCAAATTCGCTCGTTAAAAGCGCAGTACAGAAAACAACAAAAAAGTATCAATAAAACGGAAGTGGGAGGAGAGGCTGCAGTAGAAACAAATATAGGGAGAGACAAGAGATAGACAAAAACGCATCAATTAAACTAAATAAAGCGTAAAAAATTCGCAGAAAAATAGCAACCAAAATAAATAACATTGTCATTAAAGTGGAATTCCAAAAACGAAGCCAAAATAAAATTATGATTAACCCAGACATAAAAAAAAAGAAAAACTGTGACGTTTGATGGGCCGCAACTGTTGCTGTATCTGTATCTGTATCTGTATCTGTAAACCGGTTAACCATTCAGTCAGTCAATAAGTTGGCCAAAACCACAACCACAACCACAGCCACAGTCGGAGCCAAAGCCAGTCACAGCCGCAGACAGAGCAGACAGAAAATGCCAATGAAGTGAGACTCAACTCACAAGCAAGTGGCTGCTCGGCTTGGCTTCTCCCGTTCCCGGGGTTCTAGTCTGCAGCGACAGAGTCACACATGCCAATACAGACACAGAAAGTATCTGCTGCTGCTGCTGCTGGGCATTACTCATGCTAATTTCACACATACACACACAGAGACTGACAAAGATACAGCGACAACAGTATAATGAACTACTTTAAGGCCTCTCCAGAATAGAACAGAACAGAACAGAACATAACCGAGTGTCGTTTTATTTGCGTTAACAAGTTTTCAACCGCACAGTGGGCTGGCTGCCAGCCTTGGATTCCCATGGACTCCTTCCATGGTTACCACGTGCCACTTGCAACACACAAAGCAGAGCAGAGCCCTAGATCGAGGCAGAGACTGGCGCCGCCTGGTGCCTGTAGAACCTGTAGGCCGGTGGAAGTGTGGGCCGCAAAAGCCAATCGACAGGCAGAAATTTAATAGATTTCATGAAAGTTTCCAATGGATTGACAGTCCAGTGTTTCATCCAGTAATCCGCGAAGATATCCATTTATAGGGGTTGCCATTTCCGAAGAACTTGAAAGGGTAATTACGAGGTAAAAGTCCAAAGTAAAATCTCCCAACTCTTTCACCCAAGAACAGGTTTTGCTTTATGCAAAGTGGATAATATATTTCCCGACTGCGATTACTCATTGAATGTTGAATAGAATTTCGCAATTAACACTAGACTTAACGATGATTAAGAGCTAGTAAGAGGTACAATTTACATGGGGTTTCAATTAGCTTTAACCAAAGATAAAAACTTGAATGAAAAATCCTTTGAAATTGTCTTCAATTGTCTGCTGCCTGAATTACTCATCCCATAAATATCTTAAACGAATGCGATGATTAACACTTAGTACAAGCCTCAGTCAAGTTTAAGCTCAATTTAATCAAAAGATAATTTTGTGTATCTCTCCACGAGAGGCAATAAAGAACTTCGGACAGGCAGACAACCAGAGACACAGACAGACAGATCGACCACAGCGGCAGCTCAATTTTCTGGCATTAATCACACAAAAAGCTGCCTGCCATTGGCTTCGGCTTCGGCTTCGGCGTCGACCCCCCACTGCAGCAACAGCAACAACTTGCCGTTGGCCTCCCAAGCGCAGGCGGCATGCCACACTTTTTCTTCTGCCTGCAACAAATGCTAACGGTAATTTTACAAAAGCAAATGTCTATTTTTGTGCCTGCAACTGACGGACTGCTTGCTGCTTGCTGCCTCTGCGTCTGTTGCATTATTCTGCTGCCGCCGCTCCCTGCCTTCTCCTTCGTAGTTGTTGTATCTCTCAGATACATTTTAAACATATAATTTAAATACAAACACAAAGTCAAGGCATTGTTTTTGAGCAAAAGAGAAAGAGGGAATGCTCCTCCTGCTCGACTGCTGCTGCTGCTGTTTCTGTGATTATTATGATTATTCTTGCCGCTTATTTTCCCCAGTCGTTTCTTGAATTTCTTTTCTTTTTGTAGAATAACCCGCCGTAGAGAGAGAATATCATATTTTTTAACAACACCTAGAAGCATTTCTTAACTACAAAACCATTGCCTAGGGTATCACTGCTTTCGCTACTCACATCCCACATTCCTGGCATGTTATGCAGCCAGAGAGAAATGTGTTAATGTGTGAGAATAAGATTGTTCTGTTCGTGTTCTTGTTCTTTTGGTTGAATTTTTGTTTAGGTTTGTAGTCTCTTTTTATTTTGTGAGTTCTTTTTGCTTTGAGACAAGTTATTAGACGGGGAATAGCGGGCCCAAGCAACTAATTAAAGCAGCGCCAACGAAAGAACCAGAGGCCAAGAGATGATGCTGCTACAGATACAGATACAAATACACTTAAGACGGCGCACATGTGTGTGTGTGTGTGCGAAAAGGCAGTGAAGCAGAAACCCTAATGATTGCTAATTATAAAGAGACCACCGAAGTGACGCTCCCAATAAGAGACTCCAGCAACTCTGAAAGATCGTTGCTCTCTCTCTCGGAGTTTAAGTGAAAATTTCCATACGAAAAGAAAGCTAAAGTTTGCATGGAACATGGAATACAAAGCACATACAACTTATTGCTAATAAAAATATGTAAAATAAATAAATGCATTTCTTACCTTGTAGACCTGACCGTAGGTGCCATTGCCAACAACTTCGATGAGCTCAAAGATGCCAGCAGGATCCTGAAACGAAACAGAGGGGAGTGAAAATTAGTAAGAGGAAATAAACCATGTGTGAGGTATAGGGAAAAATCAATGCAAAAAAGCCCAGGGGAAACGCCCAACAATAAAGCGTCCTTTTTCTCTCATTTCTGTGGGAAACAAACGAGCTCACAGCAATGACCTCTCTATAGGGTAGATATCTCTCCCAAAACACCTTTAAACCCAAAAGAAGACAACATTTTGTTTTGTTTTTATGTAAACAAATTATTAAGGCATTATAAATACTCGTACAAATAAGGAAAAGAGACAGCAACGGAATGATGTTAAAAATACAAAATCCTCAAATTCCAATTGGGATTTCATGCACCTCACCCCCCACCACACACACCCTGCTACTCCCTCCCACCCTTTCAAGCCATACAAATTGCAGGCGGGGGTTCATTGACACGAAATTCACGAGAAGGAGAGTGCGACACGATACGAAAGTGAAGAGAGGCAGAGCAGGATGGAAGTACAAAACGATAGACGTGACACGAGAAATGCGGAGGAGAGGGACAAGAGATGGGGGGAGCATGGAGTACAATGCTTTCTATTTTTATTGGAGCGCAGGTGGAAGGAGACAGAGAGAGAAAGGCAATGGCGGGGAAGGGATTACAAAAGCCGACAAGAACGACAGGTAAAGGCAAATGCCAATTAAAATAACAACAAAAACAACACGAACGGCATTTCAACAGGTAATTGACTTTTTTTGACAGCCCCAAAGGGGTAGGACTGGGGGGAAGCCACGAGGGAATGAATAAGTTGAATTTAAATGCTGATGGAGAAGCAGAAAGGGAAATAGTTAGGAGCGAGAGAGAGAGAGAGAGAGAGAAAAAGTGCAGTTACTGCTCCAAATTCCGATGGAAGACCTAAAAGTTGGGATTCTAGAGGTGATAAGTCCCAAGCAATACTAAAAACCCTCCAGATGGATTTACCGAACTTGGAGAATGGAAACGGTAAGGAAAGCCTTGGCAAGGGAAATCAAGGGAAGCAAGAAGATAATTTATACAAATCCATATGGAAAGCAACTGAAGATACTGTTGAGCTATCTGGAAGGACAAACCCATAACCTTTGGGGGGAAATTGATTTAGGGGTTGGGGAAGAGAGATAAGAAAGAAATCCAATCATGGCAGCAGAAAATTTTCTTGTTTTCGATTGATTTATGGAAGTCGAACAAATTGTCAACTTTTTATTAGACTTTAATCCCAGAAAAATTCCCAACGAAAGAAATATCCCCACCTCCTCAACTGCAGTGAAACGACGGCTAGCAAGAGCAGGAGACTGCTGTCAGCCTCCTTCTTCCACAAAGCTTTCTTCACATAAATCTTCAAACCCCTCAAAGGTAAGGACAGAGCTCCTTCAGCTTACGGCAGAGAGACCCAAAGGAATTAAAGCGAGAAAGATGGAGAGACGGTGAGCAAAAGACAAAGCCGAAAAAAAATAAAAGTAAAAGAAAGCAAAGCACAGCAAACAAAAACAACCAAAAAAGTGCAGAGCAAATAAGCAAATAGTGGAAAAAGACGGCAGAGGGGTTTGGTTCTGGGAGGGTGGTGGAATAGGGAAAGACAGAAGAACTATGGAAAGCCGCTCTAAGTAGATTTATGGCTGCCTAGCGAGCACCCGCAGCCCCCGCCTCCCTCACCCACAAAAGTGTGTCAAACACATGCAAAGCGCACACACAGTGCGATATGTGGAAAGGGGAAAGGGAATACGGGAGAGGGAACACAACTATGAGTGTGTGGGAGAGCGCTACGTGTGTGTGTATGTGTGTATGCTGGGAAGTGCAGCAGCGGCAATTACTGAATTTTTGGCTGATTACTTCACCGTTGTAAAAAAATCAATTAAAAATGCACGAAAAATTAACTGAGGAGAGAAGTGGGGAGCAAGGGCCTAGAGCGGAAGGGGCGATTGTGGAGTGTCTGCTACTCCATGACTCATTAGCATTGTGACATGTTAAGCCGAAACGAACACAACCAGTGCATAGAACGAGAGAGAATGATCCGTTAGAACAAAAGTTCTCTCGCTCCATCGCTCCCTTTCTGTCTCTCTCTCTCTCTGTTGGGCTGTTGGTCAGCGAGCACTGACTGACTGCTCGTTTGGTTACAGTTATCAGCAGGCAAAACAGGCTGTTAGCTTGCTCGCTTACTCTTTCCTGCTGCCGCTGCTGCTGCTGTCCAGCTGCCGCCACATGCGTCCCCCTCCCTACCAATCACTGCTTCTCTATCTCCCCTCTTCCCATTTGCCTTTTGTTTGTCTTTCGTATTTGTATTTGTCCAAACGGGTACAACTAAAACTAAACAACCCGATCCGTCGGCAGGCCGAAAGAGCGAGAGACACGCGGCGGACCAACGCAGCCGCTGGCTGCCTGTGGCAACAGTGGAGCCTCCTCCGCCAAGGGAACTCCACTTCCAATTTATGTTCTCATTCACCCCAGCTGGTCTCCACTGTGGCTGCGATTTTTGTCTCTTTTTTTTCTAGTAGCTGCTTTTATTATTACAGTTTTTCCTGGCCTGGAAAACTGGAATTCTTTTCGTTTCGTTTTGTTTGTCTAAAAGCGCAACACTCCTCCTCACCCTCCCCCCACCACGAACTCTTTGCTTTGGCAAAGGCTTGGCCCAGTTAGCGGCACAGAGGAGAGGCTGAGGAAGAAGCAGGAGATTGGCCAAAAACAGGACTGAATACATATTAGGAGTGTGGGGAGGGCGGAGAGTAGGTAGGTATGCAGATGCAGAGGCAGTACCTGATACGTCGCAAAGAGAGAGAGAGAGAGAGAGGGAGAGGTGTGGGGAGATCAAAGTGTATTCATATTAGTGAGACGAGGTGAGGCATTTGCAGAGAGCAAATAGTTGGGAATTTGTTTCTGATTTGCTCAAGTTGCATGCGGAAAAGAGAGAAAGATAGCTGAGAAAAGGATGGGACTTGCTTATGAGCCGCGCTCTCAGCTGAGAGAGAAATGTAAGGAAAAATGATTATTTACCATTTGATCACTCCGTCATATGGATTGAGTAAATTTCCCACAAGGCAGAGCTGATTGGGTCAGACATTTTCCCTCTTGTGGGGAATTTCCGATATTAAACATTTGAGAATTTCCTTTATAGTGTTTTCCTGGTTTCCGATGTTGATTTAACCCAAAAAAAAGCGGCATGCAGCAACACATGTGTGGATGATATGGATTGAAGATTGGTTGCGTCGTTTCCCTCAATCCTCCAGCAAATTGCAGCGGCTCACAGACACACACACGCACACAAATGCTAACCAAAATGTGGGCGAACACGTTTTTATCGCAGCCCAAGCCGAAAATGCAATAAATGTTGATTAAAATAAAACCGAACAAAAGAAACAAAAGGCAAGAGGAAGAGAGTTGGAGAACCGAACAACTCGAGTTATCAGGCAAATGCAGAACATAAAATAAACTGCAGAGAAAATAACAGACAGGGAGACACACACACACAAATAAAAGAAATCATAAAAATCCAATTAAGGAAATTTGAAATTTGTGTTCCAATGAATGCAGTTTCCCCTTGCCCACCCGTCACTGCGTGTGTATATCTTATCGGAATAAGCTTATCGGAGTTTCGAGCTGAACGAAACCTCAAAAAGCCGCTCCCCACCCTGCCATCTCTCACTTTTTCCACCATCAGCTTTAAGGACTCTGACCTTTTTACCGTTTCTATTTCGGGACATTCGCTCTTCTCCACCCCATCCAGCAACCATTGTTGGAATGACCTTTAAAAGCCACGCACAGACAGGTCAGAGGCGAGACGAGAGACGCGACGAAGGCGCCCACGCGCCTCTACCAAAGAAAGAGAAGGCCAACAAGCAGTCGCAGCAGCAGCAACACTTCAAACACACACACACACACACACACACGCCACGCACACAGGCAATAGTCGTCATATTCTGCTGCCATTTTTTGCTGATTTTGCTTTGGTTTGTGCCTTCGTTCTGCCAGTGCTCCATCATCATCATCATCAACTTCATGCTGTCTGGTGCAACACACTCACACACACTTAGAGGGAGACTCAGCGGCAGCAGCAGACACGCATGGACATGTCTGCCTCCTCAGCCTGCCTTTTAATAAAGTAAACTAAACAATTTTCATTCTGGTCTCGTTTTCCGTCTCCTTCTTCGTATCTTGCTTCTGCTTCGACTATGAACAATTTTTCATAAACACACTCGACTCGAACAGAGAAAGAGATTCTCACACGCAGACAGGCACATGCCAAAGCAGAGGCGACGACCCAAGGCACCCACCACCCTACTCCACCCATACTCCCCTCTCTCTTGCACACAAGCAGAGTCAACAAACGGACACTCACACACACACACACACACACACACGCGCTCACATGTACTTTCTGTGGGTGCGCAAAAGAGCAGGCGCCCGATGGGGGGCCCACCCCAAACCCGCATGGTGAGTTTCTCCACTCCAGAGCTTAGGTGTGGTGAGAGATGATGAGTGGTGGAGTGCTTTTGGTGAAAGAGAAAGGCGGCAACAAAAACGCATGCGGCATTGTGGTGGCGGCCACCACTGTGCGTGTGGAGGGGGGGGGTGGGTTGGGGAGCCAACCAATTCATTGAGAAACGAAGCGAATGGCAAAAAGAAACGAAACACACGAAAAAACGAAAAGAAGAGCTAGGCAAAAGCAAAGGCAAAAGAAGATGACACCGGCCGGCCTCTGATATTTTGGTGGTGGGTGGTGGATGAATATAAATGTGGGAGTGGTGGGTGGATTCGCCTCATAATCGAGCAATCGAAAATGGAATGCCAATAAATGCATTTAGCAACTCGATTATTATTGTGAATGGCTCCCGTTGATGAGGGGGGAAACAGTGAGAGTGAGAGGGTGGAACCTTCCCCCCCCGTTGCCATAGCAAAAATCATGAAACGTGAAACACAAAGCGAAAATTTCTTTTGTTGTAATTTCAAGTGAAAATTTACATTAAGGGGAAGGGACCTTGACTGAAAATGACTCCAATAATAGAATTGAGAGACAAATGCATTTTCTGATGTTGTATAACTGCCTCAACGGCCCAAAACAGGGTGTTTATGTGGCAGTAATAACTCGCCTTATATCAAATGTACTTTATTTCTAAATTTAAAGCAATAATCAGCTGCAAAATTCCAGGCGGAAGTGGGTTTACCGTTACAAAAACACATGGCCACACCTAGCTAAAGGGGAAGAGGAGGTGCCGAAGAGAAGTGCGAATGGAAACAGAGCGATAACAGAACCAGTGCGAAAGGGAGAATAAAGAGAAGCCCAAATAGTGGGAGCAGCGAATGTCGAGAGGTGCAGCAATTAAGTGCAGGGGGCGGGGGGTCCCACGGGGTGATAATGAGCACACTAAACACACTGGAACCCCGGTCCAGAAATAGCCACCGAAAAGGGGAGGGGTCCGGTCTGGTATGAGATCAGAATTGATCAGTGTGGGGATATATTTATTCTCTTACCTTCAGTGCCGTCAAATCGATATCATCCAATGAACAATTCACGGATGGAGCCAGTTGTTGTTGCTGCTGCTGTTGGTGCGCCATTTTGATTTGCTATTTTGTTGTGTTGTTCTCTTCTACTCCCTTCTTCTGCTGCTGCTGCTGCCCGGAGATTTGCTGCTGCTACTTCACGCGGAAGAGGAAGGAGAGTGTAAAAAAATAAAACACCAATGCACACAAGCAAACACACAGGCACACACAAACAAAAGCACTAAGCCAAACGGGAGAGAACTGCAGTTATTTCTTTAGTATATTCTTGAACAAAAATACCAGCTCAACAATATTAAATACTGCTATTAACAAAACTATTTGTTGCTCTGCCTTTGCTACAACTTTTCTCTGCTTGCTTTGCCCACTGCTTCTTCTACGCTCTGCATTGGTGCTTTGAGTGTGAGTGTATGTGGCTCTCCCTCAATACGCGCGTGAGTGTGTGTGTTTGTGTGAGCGTGCCTCTGTGTGTTGGCGTTTGGCAAACGGGGCGCGGCACGCACTTTGCAGTGATTTTTCCGGCACAATTTCCAGCACAAAATTTCAGCTTAGTTAAACATTTCCTTTACCACTTATCAACACACTTTTCACAACTTTTTCCGCTTTATTTCTTCGGCGAACCTGCCGATGGACCAGCCTACACCTATACAGACACAATCACTCACACACTCAACCGCTGGCCTGTACGTGCATGTGTGTGTTTGTGTAGGTAGACAGAAAAAATCTGCCACTCGCTCGATTCGGATGCCGTTTTCGGTTGTTTTTTTTCTCTTTTTCGGGTACTCTTTTTTTACATACTTTTCCACGCACAGCGTTTGGTTGGATTTTATTCACGCCTGTGCATTGCACAAATGCTTAATAGACTTATGTTCCGGTTTTTGTGCAATCACGGAAAAAACTAATTCTATACGCGAGCCGACGCAGCGACAACCTCCGCACTGTTTCCAATCCGAATGTATCTTTTATTTCAAACTATCTTCACTGTCCGTGTGAGTCTCTCTTGAAACTGCCGCACAGTTGCGTCTTGTGCTCCCTTTTTCTTTTTATCTGTTCCTCTTTCAAGCGGTACCGATGTGAGCAGGACTGGATTGACTTTTGTTGTACACTAGCGAATATTGCAGTTTTCAATTTGATTTGTTTTATTCGACGACGCGCGCAGCGACCCATCCGCGCAGTTCAGAACAAGTGTGACCGCGGATTTATCGGTGAAGTAAGCCGTCTGACCCTCAGAAGTGTACCGAAATATACCATCTTACTTTCAATATATACCAAAATATACCTTCTCAGTTTCAATATATACCGTAATCCTAAATCATTTTCCTTGATTTTGATGTTCTATTTGATATCATTAGCTTGCAAAGATTTTCACAACTGAAATAATAATTTAATCCGATTGAAGAATCAATTTTGCTTATTATAAATTCTCTTTTTTATTGGATTGTATTCCTAATGACCTTATATTTTAGAAATTTGTATTTGAATTTTTCATTAATCGGCTTTCTAGAAGCAAGGGAGCTTAGTCTACAGTATGTAAATGTATGTAAATTATTAAAAGAGACAAGATTAACTGATAACATTGAAAAATTTGAAAAAAAGGCGCGCACAACAAAAGCGATAAAGAAATTGTATTGTGTTTTTGAAAGGGACTCTGACAGACTCTTACGACCGATCTAGGCTAAAACTAGTATCTTTACACCATTGTCTTCACACACAAACGCAAAGGCACTTTCCACTTCCTCCGATTATTCATATTCAGGTCTTCTGAACCTTTCCAGGTCTTATGTCACGATTATAAAAAATATAAATTATAATTATTTAATTACCAACCATACCCTTATTTTAGCAAATTTTTAAATTGTATCTTTTCTTCCTCTCCTGTACTTATATTTAATTTATATTTATCCCTATTCCATAATTAGCAGTTAATTTTTAATTGAAAGTACATAAATAAATATATACGATATATTGTCTATAGCCCAATATTAATCTATTTTATTTTTTATTTAGTTGTTTTCATTAGTTGTTTATATTAACTTCGCATAGGAAAAGAGCTTTCAAAACTCCCTTCACAAGGTAAAAGGGTGCGAAATTTGTACCAAAAATTAAGGTGTCGACAACAGGTAAATACGTCACAAAAATTCCAGTGGCGCCAGGTAAATTTCACGGCGATTTAATCCCCCGTGATGGAAATTCTCCAGGGAAATTCTCTCCTGTGTCTAAACGGTCAGGGAAATTCTCTCCTACCAGAAGCTCTCGCATGCACTTTAGGGATCCTTTCAACAGGTGCGAAAATTTGAGCACAGAAATATACCAAAAATAATATACGTTCACTTCCATAAAACGTAAATCTTCACCAATTTCCTGGAATTTGATCTTCTATTTGATATGACTTCCTAGTTAGGAGTCTCAGCGCTAAAACTATAATTTTATCCGATGTATCATAAAATTCTTTATTAGATTCTTTAGTTTTCATGCCTTCCTTTTATTGTATTGCTTGGAAAATAAGGTTGAAGCTAAAAATGTCAATAAACAAAAGAGCATTAAACGTAACGTAAGTGGGAATGGAATTTTACGACATTTGATTGCAATTCATTGTATCTACTTTTGCTAAAAACCAACTACATATTTAAAGAGCATGGATAATGTGTGTGCTCCATAAAACTATAAAAAAAACAAGAAAGTCAACATTGCTCCTCGGGCACGTTCTCCATTTAAATACTAGAGGCGCGCCAATCTATATTGTGTCTGCGTTAACAGCACCGCCCACTCTTTAACAGCGTGCTGTTAGGGCGCAAAGAACAGAGTGAAGTTTGCTGCGCTAGCTGTCACTTTGACAATTGCGTTTATCTTCCTCTCTTTCTTTTCTTTTCTACCCGAGATTCGGTACGTAGCGCAGTGTTGAAATGTTAATCGTTAAATATTTCGCAAATATCGCAACATCCTAACATGCTAATAAACAAAGAGGCAACGGAAAGCCAGGCGCCGTCCTATGCGTACAATATTTCATAGAGTATTGCGATTTGCGGGCGATTATTTGCGACGGATGTTTTGGTGTCCATGGCGGCACGTCGGAGTGTTGTGATGAGTGTATGAGCGAACTAATTGTCTTGTCAATTGCAGCAATGGGTCGCGTAATTCGTGCACAACGTAAGGGAGCTGGTTCCGTCTTCAAGGCGCACGTCAAGAAGCGCAAGGGAGCCGCCAAGCTCCGCTCTCTGGACTTCGCAGAGCGCTCCGGCTACATCCGCGGTGTTGTCAAGGTGAGTTCTTCGGTGGACAGACCAGTGAGCTGGACAAGTAATTAAATATAATTTTTTGTGCTCTTAGGACATCGTGCACGATCCCGGTCGTGGCGCACCCTTGGCTGTCGTTCACTTCCGTGATCCCTACCGCTACAAGATCCGCAAGGAGCTGTTCATCGCCCCCGAGGGCATGCACACCGGCCAGTTCGTGTACTGCGGCCGCAAGGCTACCCTGCAGATCGGCAATGTGATGCCCCTGAGCCAGATGCCCGAGGGTACCATCATCTGCAACTTGGAGGAGAAAACCGGTGACCGTGGCCGTCTGGCCCGCACCTCTGGCAACTACGCCACCGTGATTGCCCACAACCCCGACACTAAGAAGACCCGTGTCAAGCTGCCCTCGGGCGCCAAGAAGGTCGTGCCCTCTGCCAACCGCGCCATGGTCGGCATCGTCGCCGGCGGCGGCCGTATCGACAAGCCCATCC